GCGGGGGCGGCACTACTGACATTATATATTATGGGAGCAGACCCGGAAGCCTGTATGGTCTAATCAGTTAAGTGACAAGTTGCAATCAACAACATTTAGTGGGCTGAACTGACAGACAGTTACAGGCCACACACACAGAGGCTTATTGGTAAGGGACAGCGGATATTTTGGTCCGCTCTGCACCTATACACTGCCAGATTATGCCACACCATGTTGTGAATTTTGCAGCCGACTCTGATAAAATGCAGACTGCGGTACTTCACAGTTCTTTCTGCTTAAAGCAGAATTCAATTTACCTTCCTTTTCCAGCGATTTAATTGTTATTATTACATAGGATTTATATAGCGCTAACAGTTTGCACATCGCTTTACAATATAAGGAAGACATTACAATCACAATACAATTCAAGACAAAATGGTAAGGAGGATGGTAATTCCAGCAGGCTCCCTTGTCAAACATCTTCTTGCTGGTTTCTTCGAAGTTCAGGATCTTCAGCTATCTTGATCGTCTCGGCTGGGATGATGCAACTCCTACTCGTGCACATAGGGATGCATTCATCCTGGCACATGCTAGGTTTGTACACTGAGCTGCTAATGTGCAGCCCAGTTTACAGTTTAGGATATTCTGAGAAGGAACAAAAGAATCCTTTATTGTGGATTTGAGGATCTACAGTCGAGTGATGCACAAATAAGATACATTTTGTGTGAATAGTTAAGGTACTTGAATGTATTTTTAAGATTTAATTTTTGAGTTTAGGGTCACTTTAAAAAATGTGCCATTTGTTATATTTTTATTTAAAGCAGCAGTATAGCCATGGTAAGGCCATACCGCTGCTTCTTAAAGTGGACCTTTACCCCCCTTTGGATAAAAATCACATCAGCATGCACCTCTGCATGCTGATATGAAATCATATTACATTCCTTAAATCAAACAAACATTTTCATTTTACTTCCTGGTTCTCTTTGGCAAAAGTGAAGTAATCGTGCCCAAGCATTGCAACCTGGGAAGGTTACATCAGCAGAGCATTGCTGGCAAATCTCACGAGATCTCAGAGAAAGGCATTTTCTTCCCCTGAGATGATATGCATGAAAGTAAAGGGAGATGGATTCATCTGTCCTTAGTAAAATTTACCACTGACAGACGAATGGGGAGGAAAGAAGAACAAGGTATGCAAAGAATAAAAAGCCGCCAATTACCTAGAACTGTTTGTAGATTGTCATTACTAAACATTTCTAAAGGCGTCTTTGTTGTTATTTTGAGGATATGGGTAAAGCTCCTCTTCAACTGGACCCCTAAATGCGTTAAAATAGATTTTCACCGTAGAAAACCGTAATTTTTCTGACTTTTATTTGCCTAACATGGCAATGTACAGCTAAGTTCGCCAGAGCTCGCAGTTTCTATATCGACATGAACAATTTTACACACATTGTAAATGTTTTTAGTAGCTCCTCCACAAACTATAACTTTTTCATTTTAAGTTTAATGGTCCTTTAAGTTAGTTGAAAATCTGCCCAGGCAGTTTTAAGCCTCTTGTAAAGAACACATTTTAATTGTCCTTTGAGGTCAAATTCAGCTTGTAGTCTCAGTAATAGATGAAGGCACGGTGACAAAGAGTGATATATAAAAGAGACTGTAATGGCAGTGGAAAGAAAAGAGAGACAATAGCTTACTGCTAAAGAATAAGAGATGATAATGCAAAAGACAGACTGCGGCAATGTGCTAGACAAATGTTCACTTTCATATAGCTAGAGCAGTGCTGGTCCGCTCACTCATTAGTGGCCTCAACTGCAGCCCCTGACATCACCACAGGGCTACACATAATATATCCAGTAAATGTAATGCTACTTAATATCTAGTGAATGTAATGCTACAGAAAGCGGTCAGAGACTGCAGACATGCAACAGTTGATGGTCAGAGACTGTAGACATGCTATACGAGTTGTTGGAGACTGAGGACATGCTTCAGGACACAGTCATAGACTGGATACAAGTTACATGAGACTTGTGAAGATCACTATTATTACTGCCTCTTTATAAACCAATGCTTCCACATTGTGCTCATACTGCCTTCTTAAAAATTACCTGTGCTACATTTGATGTTTCTCTCAGCAAGATCCATAAAAAACAAACAGGGAAAAGGAATGGACAGCACTGAAAAAGTAAATCCTGGTAAACACAGTATTAATTTTGTCTGGTTCTGATGGACCAGCTGAAATTCGCACAGTGGCTGTTGTCGGCACCATTTATTCCGGCATCCCTCGATCAGCTGATCGAAGGAGCAGGTTGGACAATTCTCTGCCGAATGTACCGAAATGAAAATTTCAAAACCGAAAAAAGAAAAACAAATGTCAGCACGCTACCAAAAATGTTTTTTTATTTTTAACTTTTTTAAATATTTTATTTTTTATAAACTTTTATATTTTGTTTATATTTATTTATTTTTTATTAAATATTTTTATTTTTTACTTTAATTTTAGGGGCTTTGGGGAAATATTAGGGATCTAAACAGACCCCTGATATTTCCCTTTAAAATAGAAAAAGAGATTGAGAACACAAAGTCCTCAATCTCATTTCCCGCAGCCCCTGTTATAAATGAACAGGAATCCTCTATACTGGAGTACTCCTGTTCATTCATAACTTGAGGACAGAGTATGGTTACCATAACCACAATTATGAATGAACAGGAGGTGATGTAGATCACTTCCCATTCATTCATAATTGAGGATACAGCAAACATACTATGTCCTTAATTATTTACAAACACTCAGTGAATCAGGAGGCTGCGACAGTGCTGGCTGTCTCCGCCCACATGGCCGCTCTCCTCTGATCTGCCACAGGAGGCTGAGCGGTGTGGGAGGAGAGACGCCGTCCACTCACAGCGCTCAGCCGCTTGTGACAGTTTCTCTCCTCCCCACTGGAAGACCAGAGCAGTGCCCAGCGGGGAGGAGAGAAAGAATGGATGTACCGCTGTATTGGCCAGAAAATTGCACTTTTGGCATTATGCCAAAAGTGCCATTTTCGGCCGATATGTTTCGGCAGCCAATATATCGATGCATCCCTAGAAAATATATGTGTGTGTAAACCTTGCTCAAAAGAATGTGAAAGAAATAAAACAAATCATTTAATGACTAGAAGCCAGTTAAAATAATATGTATCTTCACTGGCTAGAGAAAGCATCTAGGTAAAGAAAACAGACATACTGTCCATAAGGGCTCTGAGGGCCACATGTGGCTTCAAGGCCACAGGTTGGGCACCATGGAGCTAGAGGAACATCTGTTATGGCATATCCATTCACCCTAATTTATCATACTAATATTAATTGTCTGCGTTGCTCGTAGCAACCCATCACTCGTTTTCTTATTCTCTAAAAGGGGCATGTGATCGATTTCAATGAGTAACATAGTCAGTTCTGTAAGAAAGGCCAGTTATGTCACACAAGATTAGGTGCAGGCTTCTTTATCTCTGACCCTGTATCGACGGCTCCTCAACTTCTTCTCTTCCTTCTCCCGCAGACTCTTAAAAGGATTCATGGAGTTTCGATACTCTCTCCTCTTTGTCAAAAAGTAGGCAACACAGGCACCTGTAGGAAAAGTGCTGATCCATTAGCAGAACTAAATACATGCACAGAATGCATGAATATCTCCAGATGTTAAAAGTCTTCACATTTAATAAATCAGGTCAGAATCTACTATTACAATTGCAGTTTTTCATTATATTAATGTATTTCATTAACATTCCCATGATCCCAACCAGCTTCTGTTCTGTGCATATTGATCAAGGCCATGGCATTTCTACTTGCTGAGATTATGCAAAATCAATGCCAATTCAAATGTTGTGTGTTTACTATAATTACATGAGCAGACGCAGTGTGTTAATAAGAAACACTGCACTACTCAGTATCTCTTCAGATGTTAGAGCTTCCTATCAAAGATAAAAACCCCATTGTTAGGAAGATTATAGTTCCTGCTATAAGCTACCTGTTATTTGACCTCAAGATCTGCACAGGCTTCCGAAACAAGCAGCGAGACAAATGACAGGCAGAGGGGATTAGAAATCTGGTAAATACTGCCTACAACTTAAAGCATATGTAAACCTTAGATGTGGTGGCTGCATTTGTTTTCTTTTTTGCACTAAAAATTTTTTTAAGTAAATAAAATGCCTTTTAATCTTTCCAGAAATGACATGTCCTTGTCACTTCCTGTGAGCCTAACCAATAGCACAATTATGTCATCTTTCCTGTATAAACTACTATTCTGACCAGCCTAATGTAATTGAGATAAACAAAGGCAGCCTGAGTGGCAACTGTGCTGTCACAGCCACTGTTATTTTCTGTTATTTCCATTACACTGCATACGTATTCATTAGCGTAGTGGTTAGCACTCTTGCTTGCAGCACTGGGGGTCCCTCATTGTATGTCTAGTCTTCATTGCAGACACTATTATTATTATACATGATTTATATAGCGCCAACAGTTTCCACAGCTCTTTACAATATAAGGAAGACATGACAACTACAATACAATTCAAGACAAGATGGTAAGGAGGGCCCTACCCGTGGGGGCTTACAATCTAAAAGGGAGGGGCAAGTGATACGAGGAGGTAGCTGTGTGGGGATGAATTGTTTGAGAATGTGATAGTTCAGTGGTCAGGTTGAGGTGGGATAGGCTTCCCTGAAGAGATGAGTCTTTAGCGATCGCCGAAAGGCAGTCAGAGTGGGAGATAGATGGACAGGTTGGGGTAAAGAGTTCCAGAGGATGGGAGAGACTCTAGAGAAGTCCTGGAGGCGAGCATTGGAGGAGTTGAGGAGGGAGCTGGAAAGCAGGAGGTCTTTGGGAGAGCGTAGGGGACGGTTAGGGTGATACTTTGAGACAAGGATTGAGATATATCCGGGGGCAGAGTTGTGAATGGCTTTGTGGTTGTTAATATTTTGAATTTTATCCTTTGGGCTATTGGAAGCCAGTGCAGGGATTGGCAGAGGGAGGTTGCAGACACTGAGCGGTTGGTTAGGTGGATGAGTCTAGCAGCAGCATTCATGATAGACTGAAGGGGGGATAGCCTGTGTAGAGATCGGCCAATGAGGAGGGAGTTGCAATATAGCGGTTTCATTGGTGAGGAAGGGGCGTATTTTGGAGATGTCGCGAAGGTGAAGGCGGCTAGAGATTGGATGTGGGGAAGAAAGGTGAAGTCAGAGTCAAGGATGACACCTAGGACCTTGGCATGGGGGGAGGGATGGATAGTTGTGTTATCAATCACAACTGAAATGTTGGGGGAAGGTGCACGGGCAGGAGGAAATATCAAGAGCTCAGTTTTTGAAAGGTTGAGTTTTAAGAAGTGTTGCGACATCCAGACGGATATATCAGTTAGTAGATTAGTGACACGAGAGGACACAGAGGGGGTGAGTTGTGGAGTGGAAAGGTAGATTTGAGTGCCATCGGCATAGAGATGGTATTGGAAGCCATGTGAGGTTATTAACTGACCAAGGGAGGAGGTGTAGCTAGAGAAGAGAAGGGGTCCAAGGACAGCCTTGGGGGACCCCTACAGAAAGAGGAAGAGGAGTTAGATTTGTAGGTGACACTAAAAGAGCGCTTACATTAGGTAGGAGGAGAACCATGAGAGAGCAGAGTCTTGTAGGCCAAGTAAGTGGAGTTCTCTGAGGAGCAGGTGGTCAACAGTGTCAAAAGCAGCAGAGAGGTCTAATAGCAAGAGTAGGGAGTAGTGGCCTTTGTTTTTACCTGTTAGTAAGTCATTAGTGAGTTTTAGGAGGGAAGTTTCAGTGGAGTGTAGAGGGTGAAAGCCGGACTGTAGGGTGTCAAGAAGGTTGTACACTAGCCTTAAAAGATCCATTCTCTTTTTACACTTCATGTGACCAGTGAACAGTCTCTGTATGTACTTTAAGAAGTAAAACATTGCTGGATTTAAGCCTCTATGCCTTATTGGAGAGCTAGGCTGTCTGTGGATGGATCTAAATCGGTTGGTGACCATACTGCCCAGAAGGATAGTGGTCCAAAGGAGGTATGTCAAAGTGGCTCTTGAAACAGCGACAATGGCTTCTTCTATAGATACAATGCAAGAAAACTGTAGCTGTAGCTGAAATCTGCAGAATTCCCAGGTGAAAATAAAGTGGGAAGAGCCTGAAAAGAAGAAAACTAATGCAGCCGCCTAATCTAAGGACTAAAGCTGCAATATTTCAAATATTTGTGTTGGCGGTTAGATACACTTTTAAAATGTAGCTATGACTGCATGGAATATATATTATTTGCCAGTTATAGAAACTCCCAGCTGGTTGTAAATGAAAATAAAAAGGAATCGTTAATATTATTTCCTGACAATATAGCTTTGTTAGTATTTTAGTATTTATAAATGTTGTATGACGGCCTTAAACAAAGCAAGGTTTTCTGGTTCAATGTATGTGACAGACAGACTAGACAGTGTATTTGTGACAGACTTCTATATTGATTGTGTGTCTTTATTATTATTGTGTAACATTGTGACACACGCGTTATTTTAATAAACTCTACTACACTGCCACCTGGCTACTCAATAAAGCATCATAATAAAAAGGCCTACAGTTATTTATTGATTACACAGTGTAGTGCACATCTAATGCTTCTATGATTTATCACATCATAGTAAACTAAATCTGGACTCGAATATAATTCACAGATGTAGAATGTGCTTCATTTTCAATTTGTGAATGGCTACCAAAAGCGTTCTGGGGTTTCAAAACGCCCTGTATATGGCAAACAAGTAGCTGTTATGGACATCTCTAGCCTGTCCACCTTCGCACCATTGTCATTCTATTTTCATTCTGACTCCCATTTCTAATGAGCTTTACAAGCTGCATACTGCCTGCAGCTGGACAGCTTTCAGCTAAAAGAAAACAGCATACAGTCATGGTTCACGTGCCCCGACCACAAAGTGTAACCAAAACTAGTTATACACACATACATTTCTCTCGAGAAATCTAATAGATTCCTCCAATCATGCTAAACCGCGTGAACTAGGGAATCTCCATTTGTCGGCTTTGTATTCAGACAGCTGCCACCTGCGGCTGTCTGAATACTTAAACAGTGACTGCATCTGATTGGATGTAGTCACTATTCGGTCAACAATTTTCAAATTTTAGCAGATTCAATAGGAATTGCCCAAAATTTGAGACGTGTATGGCTACCTTAAAGGAGAACTAGGAGGTGAGTGAAAATCACTCATCCTCATAGTTCGAGCCGACGTGTGACAATGAAACTGTCACACGTCGGCTCAATAGATCGGAAAGTGAGCGAACACATATTGTCGCTTGCTCACTTCTCGATCATGTCCCTGCAGAGAGCCGTGACTGTTAGTCACGGCTCCCTGCAGGGATTTCCCCCCTCCCCACTCTGATCCTCCAGTACTGACTGGAGGAACGGGCGGGGCGGGTACAGCTGGCTCTGCCTCTAGCTAGGCAGAGCCAGCTGTCACTCACGCAGCTGGGTGGATCTCGACAGTAATGTCGGGATCCGTCCCGGCTGCGGTGGTCTCAGTATACCCCGAGCTGTAGCTCGCAATATACTGAGCTTTGGGTCACGGGAGGACGCTAGTTTGTGTCCTCCCGTGACCCTAAAGAGAACTACAGGGAAAAACAATTACCCCATAGTTCTCTTTAAAGCCATTTCACTTAGTACACTTTTTCTTATGTTACACATGCATTGTCATATGCCTTTACGATTATTTGTATTTCATCTCTCTGGTATTGTCTCCACCCCATCCTATAGTTAATTTTTCCTCTGTGTAGATAGCTCCACCCCTCTTCAATATGTCCCAGTCTGCATCTCAGCCATGTCCTTAGCTGTGGATCATATTATGGTCTTTTGACCTATCCTATGTACACTTTTCTTAAGATCTGCAGTTTGGATTAAACTTCAACGATCCGCAAGGTGTCATCTGGATTGTGTCACTGTCTGCCAACACTTCTGAGATTGGGAGTTACTGCTATCTTGTCACAACTGTAAGTTACAGAGATCACTATTTGAATGCTTAGGCTGGGGAGGCAGAACACTTTTAGATTCAATGTTTGGAGGGTGCATGACAGAGATGCCTGCCCAGCCCAGCCCAGCCAGAAGAAAATATCTACATGAACAAACCTATTAAAAAAACATAAACAAACCTCTTTGATATTTTTTTGCTACAATATCGGAGTAAATAGTTGCATTTTAATGACTAACTGTATTTGATATTTTTTTTCCTCTTCCGTTCATTGAAGGACACAGCAAAGAAGATCAAAGATCTGGAAACACAGCGAAGAAGATCAAAGATCTGGAAACACAGGTGGCGCTATAACCATGTGGTTCCAGATCTTTGATCTTTTTCGCTGTGTCCTTCAATGAGCGCAGAGAAAAGGATTTTACGGCGAGTACAAAAATCCTATTTTTAAAATAACACCAGGGTCAAAGCAGAAGGAAAACCCCACACTAAATTAACCTGACAGTGTTTACACATTTCAAGTGCATCTCTATATTCATGGCTCACTTTTGCTCTACTGACATGTGCTGAGCACGAAAAAAATGACACTTGGCATCAGAACTCAAAGGCACCAGAAAGGCAGGTATGCAGTTTGAGTTAATCGTGCTCTAAATGCATGCAGGGAAGGGTTACATTCCTATTGATTTATTCCTTGCTGTCTGTGTCCTGCAGGGGAGATTTCCCCTCACTTCCTGTCCTGGAGATGCAACAGGAAATGAAAGGCAATCTCTCTAAAGTGACTAGAATAGTGAATAGAGAGTTGGTATAGGAACGGCTGTCCCTACTGTAGCATTTCCCTTCACTTCTAGCTCTGATAACTTAAAATTTTCAGATTTCTCATCACTTACTTTCTCTGTGGCAATGGTCACTAGAACAAAAACACCCAAGCAGGGTCAGAGAAAGCAATAAAAACTTGACAAAGGGTCTGTAACAAAAAAAGAAGGTTTGCCACTACACACACATAAAATATAAAAGCCCCTGCAACCACATAATAATGCAGAGTATGGTTCTGCATCTTAAAAAGTTTTAACACTATAGAGTCCCTGCATGTGGATAGCTACTTGATTTCCTACATCTACAATTTCCAAGTGATCAATAGTTTTTTAATTTCCTAATAACACTAGTGGAGTAATTTTTTTTAGCATCTTTATGTATTTGTATCTATAGCCAATGCTAATCATTATACGATACAGTATGTAACGTTTTACATGCAGGGTGAATGATGTCAGGTGGCAAACTATCATTTAAAAAGAGCATTTGTGCAGCTTGGTGTAAGTCTGATTACATGCTTTGGATCAAAGGTGGGGGCTACAAAAGAAACTGGGACTGTTGTAGAGGGGCAAACCAACAGACATTGTAGGTGTGAGAGCCTGTCCACACCTATGCCATGCTTTACAGTAATTGCACAGTTCTATGAGATTAATGCAAGGTACCACGCAGCTCACCTACCACGTGTTACAGTGCGGCAAGTGCATTGCGTTGCCATTCATTTGAATGACACCCAAAACACACCTCCCAGTCGCAATCCAATTGACCGTACCACAATACCGCTCAGTGTGGTAGAAAAAAAAGGTAGTGCATGCAATGCACCTGGCGCACTGTAATGCACAGTAGGTGTGTTGAGCGGTACCGTACGTTAATTGCACAGAACCATGCGATTTTTGCACAGCATAGGTGTGAATGGGCCCTGCATGAAGCCTTATTATCCCCACATAGTATGTTGCCCATACCTTATTTTATTTTTTCTTGAGCCAGGATGTGGAGCAGCAGGAGAGGATGGAAGATACTCTTCCATCTTCCTGTTGTTCTGACATTTGTCGTCACTGGTTGCTAGGACTTTCCGGCGGTGCCAGGACCTCTGCGAGGAGGAGGACCCCTGATTTCACTGGTTGCTAAGATACCATTGGTCCTAGCAACCAAGGACTGAAGTGGTCCACGGTCTGCACACAGACCAGTCGCCGACCTGTGCTGAGCTATGGCTTGCAGTGGATGCACCGACTTTGGAGGCCAGCGCATCCACTGTCAGTCAGCCATAACTGAGCACATGTTTGGAACGTGGGCCGAAAAAGGGACACACAAAGGGGCCAAGAGCTGTAAAATGCCCAGGTCTGCTATAGATGAAACTAGAACTGCAAATTTTATTACTAGTTGGGTCAACCATATAAAATGTAGCAAAAAGAAATATGTCTTATTTATACAGGGAGACTTAGAACATCTGGACAGTTTACTGAAATTAAAAAGCCTATTTGTGACATTTGATATTTTAAGCAGCAGAGCCTAGAAAAATGTAAACCTTTATAAAGCAATGTATACATAGACTGAATGGTAGTTTCATCACCTTTTAGTTCCTTGTCGGCATAACGATGGGCACTGGACACCAGCTCTTGTTTTAATTTTTCCACCAAGAATTTTAAAACAGAAATATTCCATGATGACTTGATGCTGCAATTGAATAGAACATGTGGTGATAAAAACATGTATAAGCCAAATTATCAATTGATCAGTCTCAGATTTGCCTGCTGACACATACCTCCCCAGAGACAAAGAGAAAAAGCCAGTTTCTAAATGATGGCACTCTCAGCACAGGCACGTTATGCCTAATACTAAATCTATTGCTGCAAATTATATCAGACATCTAACACGCTTAGTTATCCTCACCTTTCTGAGCCATTGAAGCGCTTATTATTTGAGATGTGATTGTGAATGTTATGCACCAGTTTCTAGGAAAGAAATAAGTATAATTAATAAGAAGCGCAATAACAAAACAAAATTATTTTTATAGCGGAACTTTAGAAAAACAGCTAAATGTACAGATGAAATACATATACGTGAACTGCTTTATCTGCCAAAGCATTTGAATCTTTTGCATAACCAGTGTTGTGACTCAAACACTTCCATCATGCTACACTAAGACACCATCATTTCTCAAGAAAAGAACTCAAGGTGGTATAGATGTCCAGATGTGGTTCACCATATCTCCCTGTCCTCCTCTAACAGATGCGGGAGATGCTCACAGGAGGTGGGTACATTCCTTCACACTTGGAGCTGTGATGGAATATGTCCTTTTGGTTAAAAGTTGAGGAGATCTATTGTGCTGTACAATCCACATGTCTCAAGTTTACACCTGGAATTGCTTTTTTTGTCTGTCCTCCAGGGTTTCTTACAAAAGCATTAAAAAAAGATACCCTACCTTATTTTCTAATTACTGCATGGGTTTCTATTTCCAGTGGTTGGAAATCTCCAGAGACCCCCTCCTTGGCAACATGGGTGGCTGTTAAGAATGAGATAATGCACATAGGAGGGCCTTATCGCAAAAGACAAAAATCAGATAAAAACTTGGCCTAGTTGGGTGATGTTTAGCGTCTCGGATAACTTTAGGGACATGCTAAACTAAGGTTCTGACCTTTTGCCATTTCGGTGTTTTCCCTAGCTGTTTCCCCACTCCGTGGTCTGCCTTTTCCTGGACGGCTCTTTATCTTCCTTCTCTTGAACATTCGTTCTCCTCTTTTTTCTCTCTTACATTTTCTGTTTTCTTTTTGGTCTATTAGTTTTTCCCCATTCTTTCTTACTTTTCTTATTTGGCTCTAGGGCCAGCTTCTTTTCTTTGGCTCTCTTAACTGTAATACTTCAAAGTCTCCTAGCAGTAGATTACCCTAGTATGCGCAATACTACAGACGCTAGAGCCTGCTTATACTTTCGTTCAGGTTTTCTATGCCAGTTATATATCGAATACTCATGATGCCTGCTCACTGATTTTTTGACTTGTAATCTGATTATACTGCATTTATTCTGGAAACTTTTGATAAAACTTTTGTTTGCAAAAAAAAAAAACGCACCATAAAAAGACACCATAATTTCCTATTTCACCTTCTTATGTCATCTGCCTGCTTTCCTTTTAGGGGGACCTGGAGGGTTAATTGCATGCTTTATAAATGTTTCTATGAAATTGTTCCCCTTTAGGAGGTACTTGGAAGATGGTATACATGTTATTGTTTTAGGAATGTCACATTCTATGTCTTCTGAGTAGTCTAGAAGCAAAGAAACGCTTCGATAGGAAATGTGATATCATGCACGTTAGTGGTGTTACCGATTACGTCAGGCGCCATCTAAGCAGTAAATACCTTTTAATTTGATCTTTATTTTTTACTCATACTGTATATATATTTACATAAAAACTACTACACTATACAAGTTTTTATTTTATGTATCTTCTCCTCCTGGCTGGTTGTTTTAGTAAAAACCACTTGAGAATACAAGGAAGAGTGTGATACAAACACTAGGGGCTGGATGGAAAGATCTTCCTGCATATGGGTATACACTGCAGACAAAATGATTAGAGGGATGTTATCAACTAGCCTGGTGGGTTTATATGCTTTCAGGCACCGGTGATAGATTTGAGCACAGATTCATCTATTCTTTTTAACTTGGAGGCATTGCACAGCACACTATTGGGAAGATTACTTAAAGGAGAACTATGGGGTCAGTGTTTTTCCCCATAGTTCTCCTTAGGGTAACGAGAGGACACAAACTAGCGTCCTCCCGTTACCCTAAGCTCAGTATACCGCGAGCTGCAGCCGGAACGGATCCCGACATGGACGTCGAGATCCGCCCAGATGCGTGAGTGACAGCTGGCTCTGCCTATCTAGAGGCAGAGCCAGCTGTACCCGCCCCCTCCCCAGTCCATTCCGCCAGTCAGCGCTGGCAGATCGGAGCGGGGAGAGGGGAATCCAACCCCTCCCCCTGTCACGGCAGAGAGCCGTGACAGGATCGAGAGGTGAGCGAACCCGGTATGTGTTCACTCACCTCCCGTTCTACTGAGCCGATCAGTGACAGTCTCATTGTCACAGGTCGGCTAGAACTATGAAGTGAGTGGAAATCACTCATCTCATAGTTCTCCTTTAAAGATAACTATTAACTATTGCATTTGCTTATGCACACGGACTTATAAATATTTAGTATAACCTTTATGCTTGTAATATATATTAATTGGTGCTGGTTAATATTTTAGCACTGTATATAATCAGGATTTAACAATAACAACAAGAATATTCTATATTCATTTACAGCTACTTATAAGATTGGGGTTGTATTAAATATTATTTTAGCGTGTAATTCTTATACATTTGTTTTGTATTTTAGCTGTAGCTATTGCGCAGACAGAAAGCATTGCAGTAGTATATAAAATATGGTGTTTTATTGGATTTTGAGGTCTACTGAGTCATGCTGCTTTAGATATAAACAATATCTTGGTAGTGTTTTATTTTCTTATTAAACAGACACCTACAGTAGAAAAACAGGTTACAAATTGTCCTAAACTGGTCTGGCTGCTGACACGCTATTGAAAGTTGCGAAGCTTGACTACATATTTTATTTTGGCCCTTGCCTTATTAAGTACGACAGCATGCTCTGTGTAGATAATGCATGGAGGCAGAAAATACTGATTCAGAAAAAACAAGTCATTTTTTCCTTTTCTTTTCATAGATAACCTGTGGCTTCTTTAGAGCAGGACGACAAGCTGTGGCTATCCTGCTGTTGTAAAAACACAATGTTCCTTCATTTCCAACCAGGATCTCTTTAAGAACAAGTTCTTTAGGCCTTGTGTTTAACATCACATGCTATTGCAGAGCCATTTCTATCATGGAAGGATAGCCCAACCAGTAAACAATCAGCTTTTGGTTCAATGTAAAACAGAAAACAGCCAGCTACACAACAGAAAAACACACTTATTGGAACTGTTAAGCTGCTGAAAGATTGATAATGTAATGCAGATACTATTTTGACCCAACCACCACTATTCTTTTAGCATAACATGACATTACGGAGGCTATGACACCCTTTAAAGCCTGCAGTTCGGAAGATTTGGTGCCAGTGCTCCAACTTCTGTCTGTATTGAATAGATCACATAGATGGGTGGTGTTGTCTTGTGAAAGGCTGCCTTTTGCATTCAAACGCAGCACAGGTCAAAGGCATGTGGTCATATACAAAGTTCACAAAATCCTGTGCTTCATCTGCAATGCAAATACACCTAAATAGGACCCGCTGTGTCCAAAAAGACGCAACACAATGCAGGTCTAACAAAGCTTAAAGTGACACTAAACTCAACAATTAAATCATAAAAATGCATTCTCAATACAAATTAGTAAACTAAATCTGAGGTTATAGTTCATCACAGGAGTGAGCATGGAGTGGTGGCTACTTTACAACACACACTGGGACCATGGGGAACAAAAGTAGCCCCCCTCCAGAAGGAAGGACAGTGTCCACACCAATTCAGAGATGATTTGACGATCTACAGCCCAGTGATACACACTTAAGATACATTTTTGTTACTAGTTAAGGTACCTGAATGCATTTTTAAGATTTTTTTCCTGAGTTTAGTGTCACTTTAAATACCTTAAATAGAATAGAAATAGACTTTCATGGTGTATTTATTATTTACTCAATAGACAATATAATGATTGCTCACATAAACACTATGCATACTTACAGACAAAACTAGGTCTCGTTTTCTTCTAGAACATTTCTGACCATTGCTTCGTTGGCGAGAACTTGTGCCAGTATAATATGACACAAATGATCGAGGTGACACGGGAGACCTCATGTCAGTAGCATCTGGAGAAGTCTCCGCCATAATCAAGCCCCCAGGACTAAGGGAGCCATCCTTCTGTATCAGAAGATGGGAATGTGTTGACTTCATGATTGGAGGAGTTGCTTCATTCAGAGCTTCCACTGTGTCCCTATGAGGATGAGAATCTGTCAGTGGCTTCCCAAAGTTGGGTGGCAAAATCCTTTGGGCTGTTGGTTCTGGAGTTAAAAAATCATCTATAGCCTGCAAGAATAAAATCACTGTCGTGATGCAGACATACACAATATCCAGTTTAAAATTATCTCTATATTAAAAAAAAAAAGCACAACAAATACAGCTCATAATGGCAGCTACTGTGTTAATATACAGATAGATGCCTGGTGGTGAGGAAACATAGGCACTGAGCATGCACACAACAGATGGTATGAAGATAATACACCTGCCAGAATTACTGCAAACAGAAGCTGTCCCTATTAAAAAGTGACAGACTGCATCTCCCACTGGAATGAAGTTGAATGGAGACGAAGCATACACAGGCTGCGAGTTGATATATTATGTACACATACACATGGCAGGATGAAAAGGGGGCATTAAGCCAAAGGAATAGGAGGCTACTGAGCAAAAACTAAAACCTTTGCTTCACAATATAGTGGGATTTGGTAAACTACTTCCCATGTATAGAGGGATACAACAGACCTGTTTACACTCACAGAAAGATTGCCATGCCGAGCCATACAAGGTGTCAGGAAAATATTTGGGTAACATCTCACTATGGTAAGGAAGCACACAATTCTGAATGTACATTTGATCATACTTTCTTCTATGACACATGCTTGTCTGGAATATGGTTAAACTTGTGAAAGCATGTTTGTGTGCATTGGACGGGTCTTTTCTGCCCGTGCGTGCCCGCTAGGGGGCGCGCACGAGCAGAAACAAATTGCCGTCTGGAGACGGCAACCCGCAGATGTAGCAGTGCCGTCCGTCCGTTTTTTTACTACGGGCGGACAGCAAGAGGTTAATATATTAAGGAAAAATTACAGAGAAAAAAAACTGTTTCCCCTAATATTAAATTCTAAAACATTTATTATCCAATTTTTTGTTAAAATATAAAAGACGGGGTCACGTCAGGTAAAAAGACACCAAACATGTCAAGACTGAAAATTGCGCACGCGTGCGAAACCTCAAAAAACGGCATTACCCAAAATTGGCCATAGGCGACGCTTTAAAAGCTTTTACCGCTCATCGGTTGTATGTGAAACAGCCGTTAACGGCTGTACAAAACGAGCGGGTCTTTCTTGCCCGGGGGTGCGCACGAGCAGGAAAAAAAAGCCGTCTGGAGACTGCAACCAGCTGATGCAAGTCAGCCGTACGTCCGTTTTTTTTCTACGGGTTGGACTTGATGGACATGTGTCTTTATTCAACCTCAAATACTATGTAACTGGTTAAAGAAGAACTCCAGGAAAAAAAATTATAATAACCCTTGCAGTGGGGCTACCACCCCACTGCAACGGATGATGTAACTTCTTTGCTCATGCACAGGAGTTACGTTATCAGTGGCCAAAGAGGAGAGCCACAAACCTGAAATGAGCAGCAGAGAAGATGCCTGCAGCAGTAGATAGTGTGAATACAGCAAGCCTGGACCTGCCAGCACTGGAGGAGGGCACATTAGTAGGTTAATAATCCCTGAAGATAGTGCTAGGTCTTATTTTCGGGGTAGGTCTTACTTTCGGGGAAACACGGTATAATGGGCAAGTATGCACATTATGGAATGAGCCTCCCCACCTATCCATCTAGATCAGCAATTCTCAACCTGTGGGTCGCGACCCAAAATTGGGTTGCAACCCATTGTTGATGGGGTCGCCGCGTCCATTTCTGCTGCGCTGGGTGAGAGTCTCCTCCTTGCACAGCAGTGTCAGTCAGCGGGAGGACAGCAATGGCTGTGAATATAAAAGTGCCGCTATACACACTCCCTGGCCGCTGCAGCGACATCTAGTGGCAGGGGAGTGTTAACAGCAGGACTTTTCTATTCACAGCGGCTGCTGTCCTCCTGCCTCCTATACAGTGCGGGCTCTGCAGGAGGCGGGCATCTTAGCATTGCTGGGGCTGAGAAGGCTGCATGGAGACAAGAGCAGACAAGCAGGTAGCAGGGGCTGGGGAGGGCTTGCATTCTTGTGAGTGTGCTTCTATTTTTATTTCTAAGTCCAGTGTGTCGCTATGTCCTGAGTCCAGTGCCTTACTAAGTCCTGAGTCCAGTGCCTTACTAAGTCCTGAGTCCAGTGCATTACTAAGTCCTGAGTCCAGTGCATTACTAAGTCCTGAATCCAGTCCGTTACTAAGTCCCGAGCCCAGTGCTCTGTTAGGGGTCACCACAACTTGGCAAATGTTACCAAGGGGTCCCAGTCCTAGAAAGGTTGAGAACCACTGATCTAGATTCAATTCTGCTCTTAAACACAGCTATACATCTACTATATTATACAAGTTAAAGCTGAAATTCAGGCAGATATAAATGACACAAAATAATGCAGCAATCTAATCATTACCACATCATTGCCCACTGTAACTACATGACTGACATGGCATCCGCCTTTTGCTATCCCATGTACAACAGGGCTCAGATTAAGAGAGGGAAACAGCACAAGGAGCCACTCATTTGTGCTTCAGTGCTCATAAGCTAACAAAAAACATGTTGATAGGAGGTGAGATGAGTGACAGAAAGATGAGGTAATCAGTCTGCTGCTTCTCCTTCATTGCCCAGTCACCGGGTGGGGAAGGGACAAGACCTGGAAGGGTGATTTAACTGCAGCAGGGTAAAAATTGGTCTCATGCCCTGGGATTTGTAGAATACCCATGTTGAGGTTAGAATGTAAAATGTAGAATGTAAAATGTTGAGTCAATAAATAGCATTAAGAAGCCTACGTGGGGTAAAAATAACCCAGCCAATTATAAATGGGTGGGTGGTAACAATTTTAGCATCAAATTCTGTATAGTCAATCAACAAGCAAATAATTGTTTTACAGCTTGGAACAATCCCATAATATATGCTTCAGCTGTGTTCATCCACATCTTGCTTTTCCCAAGGTATCTATTGACTGTTGTAAAAGAACTAATGTCTATTGTAAGACTAGGTAACTTTGTGCTGCTTGGTTGACAATAGGAAGCTAATGACTTATGACCAGAGCTGGATTTATCATTAAGCATTTATCATTAAGTTGCCTGGGGGGGAAGTCAACGCCCCTTGTATTCTGTTAAACTATAAATTGTGAGTGCAAGAACAATTTAGCAGAGTACTCTTGTATCTCTCCAATATGGACAATATTGCTGTATGGTCACAGTGGTGGCTACCACCATAGGCCCTAGTGGCTGATAGTAAATTTCCCTCCAATAGCCCGCTGCACTGCAACATTTCTTGCGGCACTGATGTCCAGGGCTCATGAAACCTTGTAGGATATAAAAGTGCAAGTGTATTTGTGTCTCCTGAAAACAATACACACCGGTGGTCTAATTGCAACAAAGGACAGACATGCAATATGCATTGGTGGATCACATGATTCACCTACGAATTATAGTCATCACCCCAATAAAAGGAAGTCAACATGTGGTAAAAACAATGTTCATTCCGTTAATACCCATGACATACTTTAAAAGGAGAACTATGGGGTTAAGGCTTTTCCCCATAGTTCTCCTTAGGGTAACGGGAGGACACAAACTAGCGTCCTCCTGTCACCCTAGGCTCAGTATACCGCGAGCTGCTGCTCGCGGTATACTGAGACGCAGCAGCTGAAGCGGATCCTGACAATTGTGCCGGGATCCGCCCAGCTACGTGACTGACAGCTGGCTCTGCTATCTAGAGGCAGAGCCAGCTGTACCCGCCCCCTCCCCCGTCCGATCCACCAGTCAGCGCTAGCGGATCGGAGCGGGGAGGGGGGAATCCAGCCCCTCCCCCTGTCACGGCAGAGAGCCGTGACAAGATCGAGAGGTGAGCGAACGCCGGTATGTGTTCGCTCACTTCCCGATCTACTGAGCCGACCTGTGACAGTCTCATTGTCACAGGTCGGCTACAACTATGAGGTGAGTGAAAAGCACTCACCTCATAGTTCTCCTTTAATAAGTCCTATTTCCAAATCCTGAACATAGTTTAATTTAAGCATACATAGATTTCAGCCATTTGCTTCCAGCTATTCCGAGTTTAGGTCACAAGACTAGAAGCTACTTGTGTAATCAAGTATACTGGCACATGCTCTTGACAAGCATGGTCAAAATCTTCCAGTGAAGTCTATAGCCTAAAAAAGGAATGAAATGTGCTGCGTAAAGATAGCATTAGAAAACTCAGGAAAGGGGAATGACAACGATCTGATCACATTAACTGTTCATGACCAAATGATTATTACTACACTGTTATCCGTAGCAGTATGAAGCTTTGCTTTACAATGTGTACACATTGCAGTGTCTTAAATACTGTCTGGTAATTAAGCAGTTGCTTGTTCTTTGATATTTTGACTGCATGGAATTTGCCGGCAGCCGACACTTTATTTATTGTTCCACACACTAATTTATAAGCTACTGTGTATTTCAGACTTGCTCACAAATACCCATACACCACGTGAGCTGGCACATTTCAAAGCAAATGAAAGAAGAAACTTAAAATGGCACTGAACTCAGGAGATAAATGTTAAAAATACATTCAAGTACCTTATCTAATGTATCACTCGGCTGTAGATCCTCAAATCATCTCTGAATTGGTGGTGACACTGTCCTTCCTTCTGGAGGGTGACTACGTTTGTTCCCTATGGTCCCTTTGTGTGTTGTAAAGTAGTCACCACTCCAAGCTCACTCCTATGATGGACTACAATCTCATGTTTAGTTTACTGATTTATATTGAGATTGTAGTCTATCACAGGAGCGAGCTTGGTGTGGTGGCTACTTTACAACACACACAGGGACCATGGGGAACAAAAGTAACCCCCCTCCAGAAGGAAGGACAGTGTCAGCACCAATTCAGAGATGATTTGAGGATCTACAGCCGAGGGAGACACAAATAAGATACATTTTTGTTAATAGTTAAAAAGGTACCACGAATGCATTTTTAACATTTAACTCTGAGTTTAGTGTCAATTTCATATGAGATATGTTACATCTTCTGATGGGTCAGAAAACATGCCGACAATACTGCGTATGCGTGCTAAATTATTCATATCTTTGCAGAAATTGCTTTAAATGGGAGCACTAGTTGGATGTGGTCAAGGGATGTTTTAACCTGGTGAAAAACTGCAAGTCTTAGGTATCAAGTGTCAATAGCAACCAATTCCAACTGCCATTTCCGCTGTGTAGAATTGAAAATGGGGGGAAAAAAAAGGATTCTGTTTGGTTGCAGTGGGCTATAGAACATTGTGGGTGCAAGATTGCACTTTACTGGACTCCATGTTGTTTTGAATTTTATCATCATATGCCTGCATTAACTTTGCTTCAAGATTCACCATCTTCTACCTGCATGAACCTTTGAACTATTCCAATGGAAGACCAAACTTCTACATTCCAGTAATGTGTCCTTGGGGATGGGCTTTGAGTGAGGAGAAGGCCTCAGGGTATGGTGGAAGTGTGGAATATGTGTTGTCATTCTTCTTTCCTATTTGCACCTGTTTATTGAGTACCGTATTTGCCGCTGTATAAGGCGACTGGGCGTATAAGACTACCCCCTACTTTTGTGTTAAAATATAGTTTTTGGATTGCCAACGGTTTCTTATTAGCTGGATATTTCTTTGTCATCGAGACTAAAAGTGATGGAAAATACAATATTTCCAGGTGTCACCAGAACAGGAATAGAGGGAAAATCCCCCAATGGGACACCCGTCACAGTGATAACTGTATAAGATACTTTTTTTATTTTTACTTCAGAGAGATTTCCTCACTTCCTGTTGTGTCTACTAAATATTTGGTAGGACTGCCCCCAACTTATTCCATTCTGGTTGGCAGTACACAGGAAATGATAGAAATATCTCTTTACCCTTCCACCCAGCCAAATCCCTTTTAAGTCACACTGACCTCCCAAAGAAAACCTACAAACACCCCCTCCTATCCCTTCACTTGTTAAACGTTGCTGAATTTCAGTCCACTGGAGATCAGATTACACTCCTAGAATTAGCGAATAGTTTTTCTGTATTAACAAAAAAGAAGAACTTATTGCCTCAAACCACAAAGGCAACATGACCAGATCCATGCAAACCTAGTTACTTTCAAAAAGAAAACCTTTCAAAACCACAGCAAAATATAAATATCCCTGATTTGGTAGCATCAACTCCATCATCCTTTTAAATTGAGCCTTTCAGGCCCATCAGAACTTGCCATGCACCTAAACCCTTGGTTCCATGTATTACCCTAACATGTACTAATGGTAGAAACCCCCAATACACTTTAGCCAAACTCTACATAGCAACACACCGAGTTCACATACAATTATATGGGCCCAATGTCAAAGATCGTTCCATATTGCTACACAGGATACCATTTTAAAATCCACAGTCAGAGTGAGGGATATGGGATTATGTAAAAGATTGTTTTCGGTTTCTATGTAAAACTTGTATTGCTCGGTTTCTTTGGATCTCCTTTGATACCGTAATAAAGGAAACTATATCAAATAAAAACAATACAACCCCTGTAAGTCCCTCAAACCCCTTTCTTTACTTAGTTGGTGGATCTACTCTTGCCCTTGTACTGAGTTTGGACTAAGTGGCATCAAGTTGCTTTATCCAAGCCCTGTCAATGTCTTTTTTGTTTTACAAGCAGTCCCCTGGTTTGAAGACTAATCATACAAACCAAACTCAGGTGTACCTTAACATTCTGTATTGTAATGTACCCTGAATGGATAAATGCTTAAACTTACCGGCATATAGTTGGAATTTAGAAGGGATGGTGCTTCATTTGGAGGACACGTAGGCAAGCAGCATTCTTTTGTCCTTTCCACAGCTGGTGGATGAAGTCCAGGGACTAATGATGCAGATGCTGCACCTAGCTGCCTGAGCTCCTCTATGACAACCTGCACTCCTCTGATCTCTTCAACGTCTTCCTCTTCAGACAGCTTACATTGTGTACTGATATCAGGTGGTGATATTGGTCTCCCTGACCTTTCGTGCATGTTTCTTAAACTGCATACTTCATCCTGTAATTGGCTTAGGAGACTACTGTTTGCTTTGGCCACATTAAGAGCAGATTCAGCAAGTCCCACTGCTTTCTCCACACGCTGATAGATAAGATGCAAAAGTTGCTCACATCCTTGTACTGAAACTCCTTGACCGGTAACAGTAATTGGAGTTGGTCCATCAACAGTCACCGAACCACCTTGAGTGCTTTCAGTTTTGCATCCACACTTGCCATCAGTTTGCCCCGGAGAAGGAGTGAAAAGGATGGTGGCACTAAAGGACATATTGTTAAACAGCGCAAACTTTCACTCAACTGTAAAACTGCACTGCTTATACCCCAAACTAACCAAAGTTAGTATTGGTTACTTTGGCTATAGCATGAAAATCTGCAGCATAACAAATATAGGAGAAACACACCATCTAGAAACTCTCCATTATTAGGTTTCCTATGACTGCATATGAAATGGAATATTACAACTAAATAATTCAAGTCCAAGTAAGGCGCTACTATGGTTTATCATCTGTCTCCGTGATGTATTATTTAATATGTTCTTAATATGTTTTTTATGATTGTCACAGTTTCTTCTAGGAACATTTGCTACTCCTACTCTCAAGCTACAAAAAACATCCCCCAAGATTTATGTTTTCCCCAAACAGAAGTTATTTTCTAAATTCCAGCTCCTTTATTTAGAAGTATTGGGAGTGTTGAATAGATTATGCTGCTGGTTTCATTTACACTTGTTGCCTTCTTGGGGAGGAATCGTTGCCATGATGAATTATTGAAATGTTCAGATGGCTGAAGTCTCTGGGAGAAATCTGTGATGGCAGGTTAAGAAAACAACAGTAAATCAACTTAGAGAAACAACGGTTTAGGCACCCAAAATGAAGTTGTGTTCCTTTTTGAATATCATTTGAATATCCCATACTCTAGAAAAATAAACTCAATGAATATCATTCCTAAAATGATAACTCAAATGTTACGTTTCAAGAAAAAAATGTTTGAAAAGCTACATTTATATATGTACCCCTGCTATAAATTATAAGAATATATAGGTTTATTCAAGAAGTACAGTGACCCTACAAATACAAGGCATTTGGACTTTACAATCTAAAGGTTAATAAACTCTGGCATGAATCCTTAAAGCTGAACTCAAGGCACAGTTTAACTTAGGGCCCATTTACATCTATAAGTTGTATAAGTAACGTGCACATTGTCTAAAGGCCCAGAAATGCACTATGCACGTGATAGTGCTATGCAGTACCAGTCATTTTTAATGGCACCCCAACACACTAAAGAAATGCACCAGTGTTGCAGTGCACCAAAATGCACAGTAATGTACTACCATGCAGAACAGGAAAAAATGGTGCAGGTCTGATTTCCAGTGTGTTGGCAGCAAATGAATGCACATTAACCAGTTGACATCCGCGGTGTTAAACCCCCTTCCCATCCAGGCCATTTTTCAGTATTCATCGCTGCGGTACTTTGACTGACATTTATTCCGTCATGCAGCGCTGTACTGAAATGAATTTTATACCCTTTTTTGGGGACACATAGAGCTTTCTTTTGGTGGTATTTATTCACCACTGGGGTTTTTATTTTTTTATATATTAAGGAAAAATTACAGATTTAAAAAAAAAAAAACAGTTTCCCCTATATTAAATTCTAAAACATTTATAATTTCCCAATTTTTTGGTAAAATATAAAAGACGGGGTCTAGTCGGGTAAAGAGACACTAAACATGTCAAGACTTAAAATTGCGCACGCGCGCGAAACCTCAAAAAAACTAAATTACCCAAAATTGGCCATAGGCGACGCATTAAAAGCTTTTACCGCTCATCAGTTTAGTGTTATCAGTGATTGATGGCCCTAAAATGATTGCTCTCACTGCGACGTTCGCGGCGATATGTAACATGTGTAGCGCAATTGTCATTTTCGCGTGCTGGCGCATGCGACGCATATTTACGTTTAAATGTGCGTAAACGAAGGTGGGGGGACTTAAACATTGTGGGGGGGGTTTACTTTTTTTTATTTGTGACCTGTTATTTTTTTAAACTTTTTTTGTTTGTGACTTTTATTTTTTTAAACTTTTTTTATTTATATATATTTTTTTTTTAATAATCCCCCTATATAATAGCACAGGTACACTGACAGGTCCTCTTTATGGAGACATTAGGGGTCTCTAGACCCCTAATGTCACCTGGAGACCCCAAAAGAAGCTGATGAAGCACAGATTTGCTTCATCAGCTTCTTCTATCTGGCATAGGAGCCAGATGACTGACAGGTGAATGCGGAAGTGATGTAATACACATCACTTCTGCATTCACACTACGGAGGGAGAACAGCAAGGAGCTGATCTCCCTCCCTCCTCCTCCTGACGCCCTCCCGAGCCGGTCCCGGGATTAAATGGGGCAGCGGATCCCGGGATTAAAGGTGAGGGGTCAGGAGGGGGGAGATGGCGGCACCCGCGATCGCGCGCATGGGGGGGGCCTCCGAAATTCACGCCATACAACCGATCGGCGGCTATAGAGCCGCTGATTGGTTGTATGTGAAACAGCCGTTAACGGCTGTAGTAACAAGCGGGTCTTTCCTGCCCGTGCGCGCGTGCTAGGGGGCGCGCGCGAGCAGGAAAAAAATGCCGTCTGGCGACGGCAACCCGCAGATAGGAGTCAGCCGTCCGTCCGTTTTTTCTTAACGGGCGGAAGGCAAGAGGTTAACATGCAACATAACACTCATTTGTTCACACACTGCAACAATCTGAATGGACCCTTAAATATATTTCTTAATAACTGCAAATGATATAAATCAAAACTTCTGCACAGCCATGATTCAACTAAAAAGGTAGACTTGTATTTAGAGAATATTTGTTTAGCTTGGAGTTCAGCTTTGAAAGTCCACCCCGAAAAAAATCGAATTTAGGTTTAGATGGAGCCCAATGGGCTGACTCAGCTTCTGTCTTCTTATATGTCTTGGATACTACAGGAAGATTATTTTCCAGCCTTAGTTCCTGACTGTTCCCACCCACCTTTGCATGTTTCAGATAAATTGTCCAGGAAATAACACACCGTTTTGTGGCTTGAGAAAGAGGCTGTGCCTTGAAACGCGTAACTGGTACGGCACTGAGAGCCCTCACCATTGCTAAAACTCTCCACCACTTCAGACTTCGTGTCCTCTATTTGACCAGTCGCACCCCCGTGATACCAGCCAGACGGCACCTGCGAACATTCAGAGCACAGTATAGCATAGCCGTCCACGGCTCTTCTCCCTTCCTAAGCCGCCGCGGCTCGGCCTGGCCAGCCAAGTACGTGGGCTGTGAAATTTCTTCACACTGCTACTAAACCTGTCACTACCTACACCTGGAGCCATCCATCTTTGGATTTAGGTTGCTCCCCTGGTTTCTGACACTTAGACACCAGGATACCTCCTGACACACCAGCTGCCTTCTAACTAAGTCCTATTGTCCGTTTTTTCACACGTCACTAAACATCAGCATTCCCAGGTTAGTAGCACTCCTACAACTTGCTTGTTTGTATGTATGTATTGATTCGCAGGGTTCCTCTCCCTGATAGTAGGAGCTCGCACACCGAACACCTCAGCTCATAGGGACCACTAACCAGTTGTGCGCTTATTCATCATTTTTATTCTTTTGTCTTCCACTCACAGAATGTAAACAATCTAGAAGGAAGAGTGAGAATGCTTCATAATGGCTACAGCTGGTATGATGACCCAGGAACTCAGATCTCACCTAATACAGTCCCCAAGAGGGTAAAAAAGCCAGGTGGTTTAGCATGTACCTAAAATGGAAATATCACTTGGATGCACTGAAACTAACCTAAAGGTAAACCTGTCAGGATAGAAATATAATGGCTGACATTGCTGGCCCTTCTAAAAATAGGATTTTTGTACTCACCATAAAATCCATTTCTTGGAGTCTATTGAGGGACACAGGAAATATTTAACCTTTGGCTTATACTGCCAGGTACAGGAGTATCGGACACTGGCAAACACAAAAAAACTGTAAGTCAACCCAGGGTATAACTCCTACTACCAGCATGCCTCCTTTTTCAGCAAAGCATGTAGAGAGCAAGATAATAAACACAGACGAGTGGGACCTGTGTCCCTGAATAACCTCCATGAAAAGGATTTTGATTTTATGGGAAGTACAAAAATTATATTTTTTATTTTCTTTCTCGTGCATTAAGGCATACACTAAACCTTAAGGACATGCAAAAGCAGTCTAACTGAGGTCAACAGAAAACAATCACTAACAGGCCCAATGCAACAATTGAGGACTGCCTACAACTCAAAGAGCTGCCTGAAGGATATTACTCTGTTTCCTCGAAAATAAGACCTACCTCGAAAATAAGACCTAGTACTATTTTTGGGAATTGCTAAAATATAAGACCTACCCTGAAAATAAGACCTAGTTGTGACCATTCCCAGGGCCGGTGGTGGCATAAGGGGGAACTTGAAGAGCCGCGGGAGAGGCAGGAGAGAATCAGCGGTGCCAACGAAGTTAGCTCTAGAGGAGGTGAGGCGGCACTGGAGGGAGCAGAGCCGCATAAGCTGATGCCTCCTCTATAGCGCCAGCTCCAATCACAGGCGAAGTGATACCAAATGCACTCCGCCTGTGAGGAATCAATAGTGAAAGCGCACTTCCCTCATTATGGCCAGCAATTTGGTTAGCAAATTGCTCTTGGAAAGGTACGGCACCCCTGGTTGCCCTGATCACCATATTTTTGTACATGAATACATGTAGACTGTTGTACATGAATAAGTGTGGATTGTTGTACATTAAAAAAAATAAGACCTACCCGAAAATAAGACCTAGTGTGTTTTTTTGAGCCCAAAAAAATATAAGACAGTGTCTTATTTACGGGGAAACACGGTACATCCAAAGTTGGCATCAGATGAGGCAGAAACATCCACCTGGTAGGACTCAGAGAAAGTATAAACAGAAGACAAGGTTGTAGCTTTGTAAATCTGGGAAACAGGAGCCTGATGCTGAAAAGCACAAAAGATGCTTACAACTTTGTTAGGGAGAGCCTAAACAGGAAAGGGGGAACCCGATCCTTGAGACCATAAGTGTGAATGATGATCTGCCTGAGCCACCTAGAGATGGCAGAAAGAGAAGCCGGGCATCCTTCCTGCGACCATCCGGAATGACAAAAAGGGAATCAGTCTTTCTGAAAGAAGTAGTGACTGAGGATAGACTTACACAGACCGAGACAAAGGGACAGGAGAACAATGTTCTAATGGGTTCAAATGGCTGTGTCTGAAGCGTTGGGAGAACCAGATTCAGATCCTATGGAGTCACGGTGATTGGACTGGGGGAACTACATGGGAGCCCCCTTCACAAAGGTCTTAATCTGACAGAGTAAAGGCAATGGTTTCTGAAACAGAATGGAAAGTGGGGAGACTTGACCCTTGATGCTGCTAAAAGCTACATATTGATCAAGACCCAACTGCAGGAAGGAGAGAATCCGTTCCAAGAAGAAGCTACTGGGGTGGAAGTCTCTGGACTCACACCAAGGCTTTCTCGGCTTCTATCCATTGGATGCAGATTTATTTAGCAGTCGTCTGTTCCCACTATGGATAAGGCCGTGTCTCATTTTAACTAGGCGAATATACAATTCTTCTTTTTCTTCCAATCTACAAATTGCCAAGGGAAATGAGATGCTAAAAGCCGAGTTTCACTTGAAAATACTGTCTTAAGCTACTCCTAAAAAAATATTTATGTTATGCAGTTAGTATGAAGAAGTCTCCCAGCTTCCAACACTGCTTTGTCTGTGTTACGGGTAGAGAGAGATCACAACTTGCCCAGTGTTCTCTGGCTCTGAGAAGAACTTTCTCTTACTGGAAGGTTGGCACTGCAGCCTGTTGATGTACTGTGCTTCTGTTTAATACTGTACTTATCAGATACAATTACAGTAAAAAAAAAAGTAACATATTTTATAAAAAATCTTATGTCCTAAAAAAATTATTCAGAAAGGCAAAATAGTCAGACTTATTGCCACGTTACCTGAGACACACAAACACAGCTAAATATCTTTCTGTAGGCGTTTAGGTGGCCTTTTATTGTAGTGATACAAAGACGCTCCATGGTGATAGGGAGAACAGAGAGAATGCATGGACCAGAAGCATTTTGAAAAGCAACTGCAATCTATCCACTGTCACACTCACCTCGTCCCCGAATCAACACCAGGTCGCCAGATTCCTCCAAGAGTGCTGATGCCACAGCCATTCAGTGCACTAACAGTCTTAAAGGGCTAGGTGCACCCCTGTACGACCAGCGTATACATTTGTTCTTGCTTACTCAAGTCTCCTGTTCACTCCTGTAGCCCCGGTGTCTCCAATAACCCCTCCACTCTTTTAACTCTAGAGACTCTGTTACCTCTGTGCACTCCTGTAACCCCTGTGTCTCCAGCAACCCTTGCACTCCGATGCCTCAAGAGACTCTGTTACCCCTATGCACTTCTTTTACCCCAGTGTGTCCACAGGCTCTTATCTCTGTGCACTCCAGTGACCCATGTATTTCTGAGTCTCCAGCGACCAGTGTGTTCCCTGCAACTCCTGTGTCATCCGACGACTCTAGTGGGCACTGTGCCCCGCCACGGGCCCTGTGTTTCCAAACCTCAGGTGCGATACTCTCCATGTGGATACAAACCCCTGTCCATGACAGTCAGCAATATCTTGCTGGATTGGGGACAGGCGAGTACAAGAATAAAAGGTGGGTGGAGGTATACAAGTGCAACTGCATCTTCACTTTAAGATCACACCGGGACCGGCAACAGCACGCCGCCTTCTGGGACGTCCAGTCCTCCCCCAGCCAGGTAAGACATCCCCGGAAAATAAGACCTAGTGTCTTTTTATGTGCAAAAAAGAAAATGAGACAGTGTCTTATTTTCAGGGGAAACACGGTAATATTTGATACAATAACAACAATGTATAACCCAACAGGTTATAATGAAGCGGCTCAAAATGAACCAAAAAGCTCAGCACGGAGCCAGAGCGCAGCAAAGTGGAGCCTTCCTAAAACAGAAGATATCCACAGGTTTCATCACGTATACATTAACAAAACTGCTAAGGGCACGCATTTAGCCCTGATATATTACAGTGCAGCAGTGACTGGATGTAAACAAACGCATGGCTGCAATATCAAGTCTGTTTGCTTTTTTTTTTAATCAGCCAGCTTTGGGCTTTCACATAGAAGTGATTTACAGACACCTCACTTCTTTCAGGCAGAAATGGGGTGCAAATATTGTGCAACATAAAAACTGAATGAACTCATTTCATTAACAAATTTGATAAACAGTTGCAACAGAAATCATTTTAACTACCATCATTTTTTTTTAAAGGCCCTCTGCTTTTAGAAAATACATTTTTAGGGGATTTGAAGTGCATATGAACTGATCTGAAGGATTGAAAAGGTAGAAGCCAGCTCCTCTTTAACTGTGGTAAAAGATTATTACAGGCTGATGAGGACTCCTCCTTAAAGAGGTCGTCAATACAGTTTCCGACATAAGGACCTTGCATAATTAGAACTTAGTTTGCAAGCACAAACCGCACACTTCTTTTTAATTGCAACCTTGGTCTTATCTGAAGTTTTAGCCTGCAATACAATGCAATTACTGCAACACAATAATCAGAAATAGAAGTGCTCCTCAACACCAAAAAGGTGCTGCCCCAAGGAACCCCAGGTGGAGAAAGGAAAATGTCAGAGGAACCAAAGTGAGCAATCAAACCACCAGCGCTTTCTCAGTCACTACTGAGAAGTGAGCTGAATATCACCAGCCAAGGCCCTCCCCTTTCTTCTGCACCGAAAACGAGGCTTGGAATGCAGAAAAGCCTCGGCGCCCGGAAATGACGTCACTCGCGCCGAAAGTGACGTACGCGGCCACCCGGTCCAGCCGTGGAGAACTTCCCGGAGCCGCTGAGACAAGACGAGCCCCTCTGACCGGCGGTCACCCTCTCCCCACAACTCAGCCAAGGAGTGACGCCATCCCGGTCCTGCCCTCGCCGGGCACCGAAGGAGGAAGAAGAACCAGCGTACCCCCCTGTCTTGCTGGAGGGACTAGCTGGAGGCCCTAGGTAAGCTTGTTACCTACATTAAAAAATTTTTGGGAAGAAAACCCCCCTGGCAAACTTGGCATATGGAGGCTCTTCCCCAGCGTTCCTGTGACGCAGATCCTCAGGTTTCCTGAGGAAACACATAGATTGAGGAGCTGGTTAGAAGGCGGGCCTTTTAAAGGCTAGTGGTGACGTGTTTCCTGTGGGCTCGGGAGGAGCCTCCATATCTCAAGATGCTGTCCTGGATGACGTTAGGGGGAAAGATTATGCAATAGCCACATAATAAAAGACTCTAAGCAAAGGTGGGCAAACTCCAGTCCTCCAGCTTTTGTGGAACTACAAATCTCATGAGACAATGCAAAATTCTGACAGCTGCAGGCAAAGTGACTCCAGAGACATGGGGTTTGTAGTTTCACCACAGCTGGAGGGCAGCTCATGCACACGTGTGCCTCGGGCTGTACATTGCCACTTGGGAGCCACAGGTACTGCATACTGCCACCCAGAGATCAATGGCGGGTATTGGCCCGGCACACAAGCACATGCGTAAAGATTTAGGCCCCTGGGTGCAGACTGTCTGCGTCCAGGTTTGTACATTGTCATGCATGAGCTTGTTTACGTACACCAACCTACAGCTAAAGATTTCTGGACAGCAGTACACAGCACCTGTGGATCACGTATAGGAAAATACTAGGCATGCACCAATACCGGTTTTCCGGTATAGAGTACCGATATATTTTTTTCTGTACTCGCCGATACCGAAAGTCCCATTAAGGAAGCCAGGTGGTGTGTAATGACCTGCCACCTGGCTTCCTGATTAGCCGGGCGGCATGCAGATTCGCCACCTGGCTTCCCGAATAGCAGAGAAGCCGTCTCCATGCTTCCTCGTAACCAGGTGACAAGCATGGAGCCGGCTTTTTTGGCCAATCAGGAAGCCGGAGGGTGTGTAAAAACTCGCCATCCACTTTCCTGACCAATTAGGATGCTGGGCAGTGAGTCATTACATGCTGCCTGGCTTCCTGATTGGTGGGGAAGCCGGCTCCATGCTCCCTCGTCACAAGTGACAGGGAGCTGGCTTCCCGCTAACCAGGAAGCCAGGCAGCATGTAATGACTCACAGCTCAATTATCGGGCTAGGCATCAGAGAATTTGGGCGAGTATGAGTACTCGCCCAAACACTCGGCATTGGCACAGATACTTGTATCAGTGCATTCCTAGAAAATACACCTGAATTTTAGTTAGTAGGGCCCCAAGCCTGTGTGCATGAACCGTACAGCACACCCTGTGAGAATAATTCAAAATACATGCTCACTGAAAATATATTATGCCTTTGCTTACAAGCTGTCTGACAGAGTGGCAGACACACAAGTTATTATACGGTCAGGTACTTTAGAAAATGCGGACCTTCTGGACACACTTTTCACTTCAACATGTAATTCCTATTCATTTTTGTTCAGTATGACAATTCCGTTCCACATGCGTGCGCTAACACACAAGCTTTGCTATCAAAATCTCCCGCACACCTAAACATCATGGCAGGAGGCGTGACCAGTACACGCTAACCACCACGCCACGTGATCTCCTGGGTGTACGCGACGCACAGCAAGCCGTGTACATCATGCTCAGAGATAAATACATCGGCGCCTCTGATTGGCCTCACGTAAACATTTTGCGATTCGCTGTCAATAACAAGTACGGCTCAACAGCGACCAATCACACGCCGGCGTCTAGGTTACGTCGAACGCGATGTTGCTTCTGGTCCCGGCTATGTATTAACCCCTATGCTGCCAGTAATGCTGGAAAGCCAGCAGAAACTGGCTAACGCTGTACTGGCTTAGCGCCTGAGCTCGCGGGACTACTAGCAACTGAGCGAAAGGAGATGAACAGTAGACGGGAGCGCATCAGCCCACCTACAGCTCAGTGCTCGTAAAGGGACTACATGTCCCAGCGGTTGTAGTTCCAGCACAGCTCGTAAAACGCGCCATTAACCATTCCCTCCCCTCAGCCACATTGGTGCACGCAAGCCAGGCAGTGTCTGAAAACGTCCTCGTAGAAAGTTACACTGCGGCACCTGTACACCCTGCCATGCACAGCTCTCCCCTATGACCATGAGCGGCACTTGAGCCTTCCCCACCTCCATTCACACACAATACAGCACACAATGTACCAGCAGGGGCAGGCTCTGCCGCCCAACTACATGAATATACCACACAAGAAAGAGGCAATGGCAAAATACCTCCGAACACACGAATACAGGTCCAACTAGTACAAATGAGAGCAGCTTTAGAGGTCCCCCCACCCCAAAAAAGCTGGAATTCACGGCTTCTAGGAAAGGATACGTGAAGGTCAGCGTGTCCCCTTTGTATTCTTGGAGCTGAGTGTGCACAGACGAGTGCACAGCTTGTACACGCCTCTTCTGGCTAAGGAATGGTGATGAGTGAGGAAGGAGGTGGGGGCACACTGCGTGTACAGGGGGCCCTTCAGGGGACATGTTCACACCATCAGGACAACACTGCATACGTACAAATGGTTTACACTATACCATGGACAGAAATACCTCAATAAATGCATCATTAGGGGGGTCTACTAAGACTGGGGCAACCAATCAACTTCTCTCTTTCATTTTCAAACATTTACTGAACAAACAGAAGAGAGAAACGTATTGGTTACTGTGGGCAACAACTCCAGCTTGGATATATTCCTCCTACAGAGGGGAATTTACTAAGACTGGGGCAACTGTGTATGGCAACCAATTAGCTTCTCTCTTTCATTTTTTAGAGCTTACATAAAGAAGCTTAAGAGAGAAGCTGATTGGTTCCTATGCACAGCTGCTCCAGTTTTAGTAAATGTCCCCCATAGTGATGCAATTATATGTTTATAATATTGTAAATGCTACACAAACACTGGATTATTGTATTAAGGTCTGGCAGATTAGAGCAGCGGTTCGCCAACCGGTGGTCCGTGAGAACATTTTGGCGGTCCCTGGGCCCCTCTGATGCCATGCAGGCTGGGCCGTCAATATAGTGGCACGGAGGCTCCTGGGCTGCCTCTCACTGACTCCAGCAGCGGCTGTCTAAAATGAGGAAATAAAGAAAATTATATTAGTGGTCCGCGGGATTTAAAATGATGAATTTAGTGATCCATGAGGTCCGAAAGGTTGGCGATCTCTGGATTAGAGAATAGTGTTACCACATCTGGCTGCCCACAGTTCAAATTGCACTCTCTTCCCACTGAACTGAAATTTGAGCTGTGGGCGGCCCTGTTGGCACCATCCGATTAGATAAAAATCGATTTTCCATTGGACTTTTGCTGAAGGAGCCGGCGGGTAGAAAATGATCATCTGCACAGTGATGGCAGCCACTCAGATGCTGGCACTGTTTTGGTATAGCAATGGTTGCTGAATAGTGATGTGCGGGAACCTGATGCCCACCAAGCCCAATCAATTGCAATCCTTGCCCCTTTGTGACATGTAGCGGTGGGGAATGCCCTGGCCACAACTGATTGATGTCTCGGTCAGTTTTGCACAGGTTTGGGCTAAGGTGGATTCCTCTATCTACACTGTTTATACAGCGGCGCCACTGTGTGAAATTCATTACGTGTGTACCCTACTTAGAATTGCCACCTGTCCAGGATTCACCTGGACAGTCTGGGTTTTGAATGCTGTGTCCGGGTTTCATGGCAGCAGAAACCCGGACACAAGATGTTAGGCAGACAGGGGCAACCAAAATTAAGATAGGGGCTACTGGCTCGAATGTGATTTTACATATGGCGCTATTTACATATAAATATGCCGTGACTCTCCCCCAAAAAATTCTGTGCATTGATAGAGTGTTTGGGTTTCGCTAGAAAAAAAGGTGGCAACCCTAACCCTACTTGAAATGCAGGCAGGGGTTTAAATATAGGTGATGAGGCCCAGGAAAAAATGCACTGCAGGACCCCCCTGGCTCTGCTGCTTGAATGCTATCAAAAGCAAACATACCATTTGAGCATACATGGGAACTTTTTGGGTCTCCTGCCTCCTTCACATAAATTGGGACATTGTTCACTTCCAGGGAAAGTGAGGATCAGGAGGCATTCTTCATAAAGTTGTAACCATTGTCACAGTTTGTAGTATCAGGACCCATTTAGGGCTGCAACCAACTAATCTAATAATAATGAGAATCGCTGTCAACTAATTATTGATTAGTTGGCATGGATCCCCTAGTTCTATCCTCAACGCTGGGAGCCAGTGTTTCATTGGCTCTGTGTCCCCTCTGATCCCCACTGCTCCCAGTGGGGATCAGAGGAGACAAAGACCTGCAGCCGGTGCTCAGAGGTAAGGAGAGCTCCACCAAACCTCCCCCTAACCCCCCATCCCACCAACGCCCCTCTGCAGCTCTCTCCTCCCCACTGGGAGCATGCTGCGGTCTGTGTCCCCTCCAATCCCCGCTCCTCCACTGCCTGTATCAGCAAAGGCAGCAGGGATCAGAGGGGACACAGACCGCTGCAGCCAGGAGAACGGCTGTCAGTCAACGCTGCTGCTCCATGTTCGATTCAACTGCTGGTAGCGGAAAGCCGTCTGCAAGACTTCAAGCCGTCTGCAAGACTTCAAGACTTCAATCCGCAGTGGTCGAGAGCAATAGCCAGCCTGCTATTGGCTATTTCAAACTGCAATAGCAGGCTGGCTATTGTACCTGCCCACTGGCTGCTGTCAATCAGCAGAGGAGCTGACTTGAATGAGGACGCAGGCAGTTTCTGTCACAGTTTCTGTGACAGAAGCTGCAGTAAGTGACTGCTGAGACAGGTGGCGCTGTGATTACAGCGCCACGGTCTCAGTGATCACACAGAGCAGACGAAGAACGGATGTTCTTCGTCTTCTCTAGGGGCTCTATGGTGAGCTGCTATCCCGGGGTTACGGGTCCCCCAGAGGAGCGGGGGACCAGAAAACCGCGGTGGGGGGAGCCGCTGCCGCTCGGTTTTAATACAAGTGATCTGAATAGATCAGTTGTATTAAACGAGCAGCGGCTTTCACTGTTATTTTAAATAAAAGTTTAGTTATTTTATTATATTGGCATGGAGTTTTTCAATTCAGATTATTTTAAATCCATGAAACGAATTAAAATATCTAATTTAATACATACGATTATTTAAAAAAAAGTAATTTTCGGTTTCGGCCTGACAAATTCTGCTGTGGCAGGTGCGTTGCGGTGCCATTAATTTCAATGGCACCCCAAACGTGCCTCCTGTCCTTCTGCTGTGCGTTCCAGTGCGGTGGGATTGCAAAAAATTGTGCATACAGCTTTATTCTGAAGTGAACATTGTTTGTAACACTCTATTTGTGTATTTTATTTTAGATTGAAGGTGGTATTTCATTTGTTTTTTAATCTGACTAATTGAAGAAAAAAAAAATCAGCCAAATAAGTTGATTATCAATAAAATCATTAACTGCAGCCGTAGACCCATTCAAACAAGATGCATTGTGCTGTTCTGGGCAGTCTTGGCCAATGCCTGTGATGTCAGTTATCACCGTATACCACTGTACTGAGGTGGTATACGCTAAAAAGATTTGTGAAAATCCTGGTTCACGGCCAATCAAGAAGCCGGGGGGCAAGTCATTACCCACCCCTGGCTTCCTGATTGGCCGGGAAGCCAGCTCCCTGGTGACGAGGGAGCATGGAGCCGGCTTCCCGGCCAATCATGAAGCCGGGGGGCGATTCATTACCCGCCCCCGGCTTCCTGATTGGCCCGGGAAACCAGCTCCAGGCTCCCTGGTGACAAGGGAGCCTGGAGCCAGCTTCCCGGCCAATCAAGAAGCCAGACAACGTGTAATGACTTGTCACCTGGCTTCCTGATACCGGAAGTTCCAGTATTGGCATAAGTATCAGGAGCATTGGGGCGAGTAAGAGTACTCCCCCAAATATTTGGTATCGGCACCGATACTAGTATCAGTATCGGTGTATCCCTAGTAAAGTCATCTGCTTGTTCAGTGTGTTTAGATAACAGAATGTTGTTCAGAAGAACTCTTCCTTGTTTTATTTCCAACCAATTATGTCTCCTTCCTTGAAAAAAACCCTGGAGGACCAAGGTCAGCAAGCTAGTGCTCTCTACTTATATTAAAAGTTAATTTCCACATTTTTGTGAGCTTATATTTATTAGGTTCAGTTCTGAGAGTTGCCGTTTGTAGTGCTTATTCGACTGGATAATTTATCTTGGCCTGATATTAAATAATGCCTGGGGGCTGAGATTTAAATCACTATGTAAGACTCGTGCTGTTTAATATTATGTTTTTAAGAAAGCAGGCTGCCGTTTTGCAATTCAGCTGCACATTATTTTGTTGTCTCTGAGTCCTGACTCGTTTTTTTACACTAGCTCTCTGTCTGTACCTCTGGATCAAAAGTGCTTGTGACCCACAGGTCTCCCCCCCTACTCCCCAAGATAACACAGCAATGCCTGGTGACATTACCATATTAAGGATCAGTTCTTTAGGAGTGTAGCAACCTGCCTGCAGTATTATGGTCAACCTCTGAATATACACTGCCTGGCCAAATATAGTCACCGCCTGGATTTAGCAAATAGGTCAGAGCCTTCCATTGGATAATTAGACTAGGTTCAGCAACGTTATGTCACCAAACAATGAGGTCAGCCGCCTACCTGAATATACTGAATAACCAGGTTTTTCCATCAATGGATTTTTTCTTCCCTGATGGCTCGAGCATATTCCAAGATGACAATGCCAGTATTCATTGGGCTCAAATTGTGAAAGAATGGTTCAGGGAGCATGAGGCATCATTTTCACACATGGATTGGTCCACCACAGTCCAGACCTTAACCCCATTGAGACCTTACGCTGTAGTCCGACTCTCCCATCATCATTACAAGATCTTGGTAAAAAATGAAGGCAGCTCTGGACAGAAATAAATGTTGTGACATTGCATAAGCTTATCAAAACAACGCCATGCCAAATGTGTGCTATAATAGCTAAAGCTGATCCAACAAAATATTAAAGGAGCTGCAGGTCATTCAAAATTCAGAACAAAAGTGGTCCATGTCCAAGTGATATTCAGTTTTAGCATATATCGTGGTCTTTTGGGTATTGTTACAAAAGTTAAAAGAGCCCCATAACCATAACTGCTAGCAGGCAGTAGATTTATGCAAAAAGTAGAAAAAAAAAACCCGCTTTAACAGCGGTTTATACCTACCCCGTCTTCGCTGCGCGGTCCCGTCCGAGAATCCGAAAACTGTTCGGGCGGCCGCAAAGCATCTTGGGGCAGGCGCATGCGCAGTTCGGATTCTCGGCCAGGAGACGAGCAGAGACACAAGGTAAGTCTATGGACGCGTGCACCCGCATGCAGACACTGCTGGATCGAAAGTGCCTGCAAGGACAGAGGAGTCAGCGCTGGATCGGAGAGCCACCGCACCGCTGG